GCTACCCACTCAGGACACTTGGAATACATTGGACGAGCAGTATGGAGGAATATTGACACGTTTTTTGTGGACTTTTATGGACCTGGGGGGGTGAGTAGAAAATGAAGGCTAATCATGTTTTGGGTGTACTATTCCTTTAATCCTTAATAATTTTTTCATTATCTGCAGGATATCATTTTGCACAACAACAAGATGAAGGCATGACTGTTGCTTTTGGGGTTATATGATGCATTGACATCCAATCAGTAGCTGCAGGTGGAGCAGCTTCATCTGGAAATGCTAAGGATAATGAAGCTAAGAGGAGGGGGGAAGGCATCCACCTCTCTGCATCCGAGGGTACTCAGTCCACAAAAAGCTATTAATGATTCAGTGTTTCCAGTCCATTATGCAGGACTCTTAAATGATAATGTCAGAGCAGAGGAAGGGATGTGCTCTCATCGTATTGTGCAAATTACACAATACGATGAGAGCGAAAGAGCTTTGAAAACTAATTCAACCGGGGCGGCTCTTAGAGCAGCATTAAATGCCACAGAAACAAGAAAAAATTGATTCTAACTTAAACCAACCTCCTGCTAAACCTGACAAACTAGTCAAAGATAAGTGACTGTATTCTAAAACAGAGGAAAGCAATACAGCAATCAGAGACTTTACTGGTCAAGTAGCTTCACTTGTGCAAACATTGCAGCATCACAGAAAAAAAATCAAAGAGTTAAACCATCCAAGATGAATCCAAACACAGCAAAACATAAAATAAAACAGCAATGTGTTGCTTACCCTAACCCTAACCCATAAACAGAAGGACGACTGATCATTGTTTCAAATGTACTTTTACAGTGCTTAGAAAATAAAATCTAAGAATAAAACACCAAAATAAAAATAAAAATCTGCTGCATCCATTCTATTTATTCAAATGTTTAAAATCAGTAGAATTCAAACATTGATAAACATGAACAATGATGTCAGGCTGAAATATTCCTTCATAATAGTAGAGCTAAATAGTGCAGAACCACATAGCAATGTAGTGTTTGTCCCACTTCTATCAGAAAATCCAATCAGGATTATTCTATCAGAAACAGAAGAGGGTAGTGATGTGGGAAAACGATATTCACTCCAGTTAAATTAAACTCTGATGAGGTCAGCTGAGCTCTGATCACTTTCTTCCGATGACTTTGAGGAACAGCTCCTCCTGATGAGGGAAGGCTGAGATGATCCTCCATGAGTGTCTCCAGGCACCTGGTCTTTCTGTAAAGCCGTGTCTAACTCGGGGGGGGGAAAGGTCGCGGTAGAGGACGCGATGACGTCACATGGAGGAAAGTAAACATGGAGAGAGCATCTAGTGATCTTTCCCAACCATAAAAACAAAATCTTTTCAAGGTTTTGTTGAAAAACACCGTCATGTTTTTTCCCTGGGTCCGTTAATTCGAGTGCAGGTAACTTAACGGAGATGGAGTGTTATAAAAACATTCTGGACAACGAAGCTTCGATTCACCTTTGCAAAGGGGGAGGAGCATCAGCAGCACCCATCTGCGAACAGCAACTCCTAACCCATGTCAGAGGATGGAGAGCACATCCAGTTAGTCACAGTCAGAGAAACAGGACTACATTGGAAAACAGGCCAAGCTCCAACATCTAGAAAAAAAGGTGTTGATGGCAGCAGCACAGCTGATATTTCT